TCTCTGCCACGAATCGGGCTGCCCGTTGTGCAGCACTGTGCTTGTTTCCTAAATGCTACAGCACTACCTGGCTTCTCTGTTGCAGAACACGAATTTCCGAGAGCCTGTGCAGCAGCTCTCACAGCAACAAGTAGAGGAGAGGAGTCTGAAATACTACAACTCTGACATTCACCGGGCAGCTTTCATCCTGCCAGAGTTTGCACGGAAGGTAAGTAGGGCTGTGCTGCTCCTCCTCCATCAGAATGAGGTATGACTTTGCTTTGACAGGGCTGGGAATATACAGAGTTGAGGATTTGCTGCAGCCCTGAAGGCTTCTCTGGGCAAGTTGGAGCAGGGTGGCATTTTGTATGACATGGCAGAGGATGAGTCAGTCTGGTAAGACTGGAGTTCAGTTTGGAACTGTTATTTGGGTTGATGTCCCAAGTTTTGATGGCAGATCACTCGTACTTTGCCTACCATAAATGAGCCCAAGAGCCTGCAGAACTGGTGTTTTCCACTGGAAAGCTCCAAAAGTCTTGGATAAAAAAAAAAACTGGTTGTGGTTTTTAGTGCAAACCAGAGGATATAGAAAGGATGGTGTGTAGTTCAGTCTGCCTTCTTGAAGTCCTTCATCTCTAACCGCAGGTTCTAGCGGAGCGCATCCTCAGAGTGCCCTAGGGACAAGGGCAGGTGCTGTGGGTGTGTTTCAGAGCCATCTGTCTGCTCAGGACTGCTACATTTGTCCATCCTGACATTTCTTTTCTTGGCTGTCGCCAGGCCCTGAGCGATGTGTGAGACCCAGAAGCTCCTTCCTCCTTTCAAGTTGGACCCTGAGATCATCAGTGATGTGGGGACCTTCCTAGCAGACTCCAGATTTGCTCTCCACTGTGTGGGATCGTTTAACCCCTTGCCAGCCAACATTCCCTTTGATGTGTCATAACCCAGATAAGACTATTGAAAAGGTCCAGTGACTTATTGCGTGAGGTCAAAACTGTTGTTTGCAGTACTGGAAATGTAAGATGTCTTCTTCCTTCCTCTCCTCCCTTTACCCATTCTAAATTTGCCTCCACCCAACTGACAACGATATATTTATAACTGACGTGTATTTCTGTCTGGTGATCTTCTGAAACTTGGGAAGAGTCCAGGAGGTTCACTGACTCGGCCTTAAGCACAGAGAGCGAGAGCTTTGTGCACAGAGTTAGCTTGCTCTCTCCTAATAGAAGCTCCCTGCTGCTGAGACATTTTGACTGGTAACGGGTCTGAGCCTTCACATCCCACTGCCCTGCTGTGATGCCTGTGCTGTTCTGCAGCACAGCTGGAGAAATCACAGTGCAAACTGTTGCCATTCACAGTAAGTCTCCCTCCAACCCTGATGGAGTAGCAGTATTAAACGCCAGCATGCCAGGCTGGCAGCAAAGTCTTGTGGCTTTTATTTTAATTTTTTTTTCAATTGGTTGGAAACAGAAATGCTGAGGTACTGACAGGCTGACTCCTGTTCTTACCCCTGCCATCAAAATGGTTCCAAAGAATGTTTATCAATCAGGTGATAGGCGCTTTATATATAAAAATATAAATATAAATATATATATAAAAAAAAAATCAAACCTTAGATCCATTGCCTGCTGTTCAGTACTGATGCTGGGGAGGCAGTTGTGCTGATAAATCTCATCTCAGTCTTGCTGAGGTGCCTCAGGCCTGGGTATTTGCTAGTCGTTAGGACGCATCATTACTTCTAATGCTGCCCCCAGAAGTGTAAAGCTGTTTCTCGTTTTACTGTGTTGTGAGATGGATCTTCCTCCACATCTACTTCTGGGTTAAAGTCTCCGTGCCACCGCTGTGCAACAGTGATCCGTTCCAGCACAACCACTGTGCAATTGTCACTCCCTTGCAATCAATTAAACACTCGGCTCTGGTTAAGGTGACGTGAGTGTGGGTTGCTGTATTTCTTTGGGGGGAGTGTGGGAGTGGTGACAAAGTCTGCAAGTTTGCTGTGCTTGTCAGAAGACATCCAGGGGCACTCGTAGTTGGTGCGCCCTCCTGCCTCTAGAGCTGACAAACGTCATAAAAATAAGTTGTGGAGAGTGATCCCATTGCTTGCTTTGTGTTGTAACCTGGCTGCATTATGGCTCCAGCTTCTGTCATCCTCTGCACTGCAGAAGTCTGTACCTTCTATTCCAACTATTCCCTAGTCCAAATGCTGCCTATGCTGTGCCTTTCCAAGCCGTTCTCTATCTGCCCATCTCCCTGTGTGCGTAGCTCAGTTCCTGTCAATCACTGGCCCCACTCAGTTGCACCATCTTTTCCTCTGTAAACTTGCAGTGGCTGAGTGGCTCTGAGGGCTGAAACTGCGCTGAAGTCCAGGTGCTGAACAGGCTGAGAACAGTCGCTAGGTGGCATCAGGAGAATAAAAAAAAAAATAACCCAGTCCTGAGGGAGATGGGGATGGATGAGAGAAAACCAGAAGGAGCAGCATTTTGCAACGTTTGGGATTGAGCTTTGCCATAAATGTGACCTTGCAGACAGCACAGATGGTGCTGCCTACAGCAAGAGGTCTGCTTCAGTGGTGCCAGCAAATACCTTCCTGCTTTCTGCTTTGTGAGACTTCCCACTTCTTTCCTGATGTGCCCCTTCCACTACCGGGATCAGTGTAGCTTCTCTGTAGTTGTAAGGGTTTGCAGAAGCATTGCTGAGCTGCAGAGCTAAGTGGATAAGGTTTTGTTTGCTGTATCTAGAAACTTTCATCTGTTTTGTCTCTTAATTGTCTGGGAAACTCTTCTTTTTCCCACAATTACTGATTAGTTAGATTTGTCCTTGTACAGAAGGTTATGGAGGCATTGTCACTGCTCTACTCTTGTGTGTTTATTACAAAGAGCAGATTAGTATGATAGAGGCTGGCTCTAGCTACTCCTCTTTAAATTGCTGTGGGACCTAAGCCCCATTCAGCCCTTCATCCTTGACAGAAAACCACCTTTAGCACCTTCTCTCTCCTGGAACCAGATCAAGACTAAGACTGTAATCCAGGAAGGCCTCAGAGCAGCTGCCAACTGGTAACAAGTTCAAGCCTTCCACCCACCCTCGGTGAGTACAATGCCCAGGAGCAAAAGAGCTCCCTCCAACCTGTTACTGGCTTCCACACAGCTTCCTTCTGTTTTTCTGAGCTCTCAAGAAAGTTCAGTGAGTGAGCAGTGGTGGGAACAGGAGGATGGGGCTGTTTGCCATCTGATTTGCCAATGCTCTGTGCGTAGATAAGGTCCAGTAAACAATTTGAGTAGTTTTCAATCAGTATCCTTTACAGGCAGTCACATATTTCAGTGCCTTGCAATAGGTGAAGACACATCAGTGCTTGAATCGAGCACTCATTAACAGTGCAGCAAGAGAGGGAATGTGAATCTGTGCTTCTGTGGCTGGTTCTGTCTGAGCAGCTTGGAGCAATTTATTATTGGTTTGGCTTATTGGTTAAGCACTGCCATGAGGTCTGCAAGAGATATAACTGCTAAAGCAGCATTTGTTGTGGCAGTCACCTGTCAGCTAATGGAGTCTGCAGGTGATTATCCCTTCTGTAAGCGTAATGAGGTGTGAGCTGTGATGCTGAAGGATGCTGTGGCACTGGGATGCCAGGGATTAGAAAGAGACTGACAATTTGGGATATGTGTAACGGGAGAAAAATAATGGGATCTCCAACTGAATTGAGCATGAATGCTTGAAAGCTTTCTTTGCAGCGTCTCCAGTTGGGCAACTGGAAGGCTTGAGTAACTGTGCTGGAGTCTTAGCTGTGTTTTGCCTGAGGCAAGGCTGCTCGTAAGCAGAGATCCACAAAGATGCTGTTTGTCTAGACATGCTGCAGTCATGTTCCCGTACCTTATAAAGCTGGGAGCTGTGTGAGCAGTGACAGGCTTTGTCCCATGCACCACACATTGCAGTATCACTCGGAGCAGGTGGAGTCAGATGAGGTAACAGAGCCTGATGGGCTTCAGCACATCAATTCCTTCAGCCTCTTGGCGCCTTCTGAACTATCAGACTCCCTGTTCTGTGCGCTTTACTTATTAAACTAACTCAATTTTTCAGAGTTCAGAAAAGAGCTTAAAAAACTGAGAGAAATCTCTTGCCCATATCTCTTGAGCCCTTTCAGCCAGTTAATTGGTATGAGTGTCTTATTCATCCAGAGCTAATGTTATCAAGGCCTGGCTTGAATTATTGATGGAGCTTGGCTGGAGCAAGAGATTGCTGAAGTAGGAATGACAATTCATCTTGCATCAGAGAGCAGCAGTCTCAATAAGCAAACAGTCAAAAAAAAAAAAAGCCACCAAGTTCAGGGAGAGGCCAGTTTCTATGATAAAATGGGAGGAGAAAAAAGGAAAAGCTGGGACAAAAGCATGAAAAAGCAGCTCCAGTCTAGACAAAGTCAGACAAAATGTCATTAAAAAGTAAGATGAGAAATGTAATGAAGTTATGTACTGAGAAGCCTCGGTGAAGCTCTTTCCTGGCTGCGTACAGGATGGAGTTAAATGCTTTTAAATATGCAGGAGGTGGGGAATTAGAGCCAGGGGATCTCAATTATAGAACAGCAACATGTGAAGCAGATGAAGGCAGGAGGATCATTAGGAATGTGAAAGATGTCAGTGACAGGCTGTTCCCGAGCGGCAGCTCCACAGCCTGCAAAGCCACGCTGGGACCTGGAGCTGGCTGCCTCTCCTTGGTACTGCACAGCACTGAGGGAATTTGCTTAAGCAAGCTGCTCCTGCTTGCCAGCAGCAAGGCAAGGTGATGCATGTGATGACCTTTGTGTGTTTCATCCCTCTTTGGCTGCAGGAGAGGAACAGCCTCACCCCCCATGGAGTGCATGAATCCCGTGTGAGGCTCTCCCAGCTGAGCGGCCCCTGGCAGGATCAGCCCTGTGTGCCAACGTCAGTGCCCAGCTGTTGCTGCCTGAATTCCCACAAGGCACAGAGCATGTGCAATCCCTCAGGAATCCCTTGCCACCGATGGGATGAGTCTGGTGTAGCAGAGGTCAGTTCATGTGTCGTGAGGCAGTAGTCATCTCACACATCCTTAGCCTGTTTCACAGCCTGACGTTCCTCCTGCTCGGAGCTGGGCAAAGCATGGTTGGTGGAAAACTTGAAGAATTTCAAAGTAAGTGTCTCATAGCCAGTAGTTGTTTTTTGAAGATGATTTTGAGTGGCAAACTTGAAGTGTTTTAACTTTACGCTGCACACTGAAATAAAAGGTTTTGAGCATACCACCGAAGCACTATGCCTGCCCTCCTGCAGTCCTGTCGAGGTCGATGGACAGAGAAGGCAGCGCTGCTCCTCTCGCTCTGCCTCCCCAGGGAGCTGTAACAGGCTTATAGTTATGTGTGCTCTGACAGCAGCATCCCTGCGGTATTCCCCTCCTCCTCCCTGCACCTGCTCTGCAGCTCTTATCAGAGATGAGCGGGAGCTGTAGGCTCCAGCCCACGCTCTTTCTTGGGTCTGTTAGATTAGAGCCAATGAAAGCCATGGCTGACACAGCCACCCGTATGCTTTGTGGAGTCCTTTGGGGACTGCGCTGCGAGGGAACGCTGCAAGCCTGGCCTGATAAATCAGCTGTGATTTCAGACCCATGGACAAATTGGTTTCCCCTTCCAGGAAGGCTCACTACTGTCAGATGAGCATTGCTTTATTTATTGTTCTGTCCTTTGCAACTAGGGACTCTTGAGGGCAAGCAGAAAGGCTTCCAGTGACATGAAAGCAGAGGTATTGTAACTAACTCTTCCTTCAGCTGCAGTTGAGTGTCCCACCTTTGGGAACCTGACTGTTCTGGAAGCCTGATGCAATTCTGCAGCATGCTTCAAAAACGTCTGGTCATCCAAATTCAAACCAGGCAACAAATGGGTAGAAGACAGCAAATATCCAAGCGACAGAGGAAAGTAATAGAGATGACCTAATTCCTTAATGTGGTACTTGGTGCCAGGCATTGTGTTCCCTTTTGTGTTCTAATAATGCCTTCACTGCTGTACCGACGCACTGACAAGAGGGCAATGAACTCCTTCGAAGACAAAATCCCCTGTGCGTATTGCTTAGTCACCCTTTATCACAAAAAGATGGTAGTGGTTGTAATTGTGGAAGCATATTCTGTGAGCATTGGTGCTTACACAGGCCTTTTCAGGCCACCTTCTATTGCTGAATTTCCATCTGGAGGATCCCCACCTGTACCAGGCTGATGGACGCGTTCGCAGGCGTGCTGGTAGCAGGTAGATCTGCCCTCATTGTAAAGTGGTAGCAACCCACTCCTACTGCTCCAGACAGAAGAGAGTGTCAATGAAAATCAATGAAAAAGGACTTCTAAATGAGTGAGTCAGGTAACTGAGGGAGGGAAAGTTCAAGAGGATGTCAAGGGAAGGCCTTAAACCTCCCTGTACAGTGATAAGCATTTAAGGGTTAGCAAAGGAAAAGTTCGGGCCACCTTAAGGTCAGCCAGTGATGACAGAGAATGGGAAACAGTAGCAATGCTGGTGCAACCTGTTGATACTTCTTTCCTGTTACCATAAAAAACAAATGTATCACTGTGGAGTTACTCTGCTTCCTTTGGAGAAGGAAGTCAGCCCTAATGTTACAGGAGGCACCGGGGGTTGCAAAAGGGCCAGAGGATCAGAGCTTGAGGACAGGCTGATGTAGAGGAAAGGGAAGATGGAGGAAGCTGGGAAAAAAGGAAAATAAGCTTCTGGTATTGAAGGGTGCTGAAGCAGAGCAGCTGAGAGAACCTATTTGATTCCAGAGATTTGGTCCCAGTGTGGAACTGCTTCTATGTGTGCTTATTCCCTTCCATCGCAGCTGGGAAGGGTCCCTGCCTTTCCCTGAGTAGAAGTGCAGGTTTTGTCTGCATTGTGCTGGTCAGAGGAATGCAGGTTTGGTGCTTGCATGTCTGGGCAGATACACTCCAAAGCCAACCCCATTAGGAGATGCTAATTATTTTATTATTGCCCTTTAATCCCAGGGCAGACTCACTCGCAGCTGAGTCACTCTTTGCATCCCAATGGGACCTCCTCAGAAGCTGATGTGCTCAGGCTCAGCACCCAGCATGGAGACCTGGTTGTACTGCTTTTGGGCTTATCTAGCTTTTGGGCTGCTTGGCCCATGAGGTTTAGTCCTGCCCTGTAAACAACAGTCCAAGATTCACCTTCTGCTTGCCTGTCAGCCCAGCCACATCTCACACAGGTACATGCCCTTCGTTCCCCTTGAGCAGCCAAGCGTGCTTTCTCCATTTGCTGTTCTCCCATTTTTCCTCTCCCACAGCAGATCAGCTGCAGGTCATTTCGCAGGTCCCTGTGATTTGCTTTACTCACTGGAGTCTGCTCCTTCGCTGCTCTCTGTCTCGAGCCCCAGACATGCTTGGAAGTGTTTGACAGAATCCATTAAGAAGGGTAATGCAGCAATTCTGATAAACTAGCAAGATGAGTTTAAAAGGAAATGGGTGATGTTTCATCTGAAACTGGTGCATGGCAGCTAGCCCTCACAAGGAGGGATGAGAAGCAAAGGGGTTACAGTTTTCTCAGGAAAATTCATTTATAGAAATTGCTGGATCATGAACTCCCCACAGGTCCCTATCATTTAGAAAAACTTTATTCTTCTTTGTAACTTTTGGTGAGGGAATCCAGTGTTTCTTTTCAAAAACGTGTGGATGAGATGGCATCTCTTCTCTCGAGCACCCAGGATGGTATAGCTGGCATTAGGAGCTGGATTGTTTGCAGGCAGAGCTTCATTATGTTCTTTCCAAGAACTTTGACACTGATGAGCAGTGCAAGTGGGGAACACATCTTTCTGTTTCATTTTGTTCTGACACAGCAACCTTGCGGCTAAGTCACTCTGCTGTGCTTTCTTTGTGTGCTAATTTAGGATAATAATTCACCTTTTGACTGCTGGGGTTGGTTCAGAATGGAGCTCGCCTTGAGGCAAATGCTTTTGGAGAAAGTGAGATGAGATCCTTAGCTCTGTCACTGCATCTCAACAGAATGAGACAGTAGATGCCACCGTGTGTGACAGGGGCAAAGCAAAGCAGGCAGCAGTGTTTATATAGTACCTTCTGCTGGTCCCCAAACCAGTCTCACTGGGATCATATTTTGTGCAAAGAGAGAAGCATTCTTTACTACTAAACAGGGGCAAGAGAAAGCAGGGAGACATGCCAAGCAGCCTGCAGTCAACGTCAACACATCACAGGCTTCTTGAAGTCCCACTGCATGGAACAGCTCCAGTTGTTCAGTGCTTTGTTTTCCCTTTAATACACTTAAACCCAGCATCTCCGAGTCAGAATTCAATGTGTTGATCCATGGGATTGGTTCAAGACACATTGAAACAATATTAAAACAAAAACCAGTAACTACCAGCTGGTCTTGTAGCTGTAGATACATTGGCAAAGTGTGATTTATTGCATAGCTGCAACCTGTGTCCCCACGTTACTGTAAAGGGAAAGCCAGGCATACTGGCATTCCACAGTGAGGTTTATCACAGCTTGCAGAGATCCAGATCCAAGTACCCATTGAGTCCAGAGCTGTTTACACACAGAGGCTGAAGGTCTGAGTTGCTCGTATCCAGTACTGGTGGCCAAAAATTTTATCTTTTCCTTTTGAGTCACCCAGCATTGGCCAGAGGTTGGTGCAAGCCTGGTGGCCTGTTCTAGCCAATGTTATGCTCCCAAGTGGAATTTAGCTAACTAGAAGAGACGCAGACATTTCCTACGATTACTGGGGGTGAACAGCATGTTATTGGAGAATCCCAAACCCTCGCTGTCGCTGCAGGTCTGGTGCGTGGAAAGCCCAGAGGCACAGAAGTATCCCACTCAAGCAGCCAAGTGTTAACAACCTCTCCAAAGTCTAATTTGCCTTTGATATAGACTTAATTGTTTGCGTCACCCACTGGGCTAGGGGGAGGGCTATAAAAGGGGCTGCAGCCATTGTCTGAGGCAGAAGAGAGCCCAGAAACAGCTCCCTCTCCCAGTCTTCCTAATTCAGCACCGTAGTCACAGCCTGTGCATCATGCAGCTGATGGCCAGCCTGGTGTCTGTTCTGCTGCTGGTGTGGAGCGTGAGAGCCACGGCGCTGCCTGGAGAAGAGAGACTCGCGTTACAGAACAGCAGGGTGAGTATAATGCACCCTGTGCAGGAGCTGGGTGGGATGGGAGCATGCAGGAGCAGGCTGAAGTTGTCAGGGGACAGATAAAAAGGGCAGTTGGCTTTTACTTGGTGTAAACACTTCTACCTCTGCGTGTTCCAAGACAGTACAGCTTCACGCGCTGCTGAAGCAGGGCTATTACTACAGCTTATTAGCCAGCTTATTTAGGAAAGGTACCACAGCAGACTCCTGAGGACTGCAAAACTGAAATCTGAACTAAGCAAAAACTGGTAAACAGAGCGGCCAGGAGGAGGGAGAGGGAGAAAATAAGGTTGCTGAAGGAATACAGCATGAGAGAATGAAGCAGAGTAGTAGGGAGGGGGAGAAAAGATACATAATTGGTAAAATGATCAAGGGAGATGATATTTTAAATGGGACTCCTGGGAAGGACAAATGTTTAAAAGATGGGTTCAGTAAGAAAGTAACAGAGGAATAATAAATGAAGTAATTATATCAGAATAAAATTGCTTTTTCCAGAGTAGTATTCACAGGGGGAGTTATACCGACATAGTTCTGCTAGAATAATTACACTCTGAACCAGCACAGGCTCTATGCAGTGGCAGAACTTATTATAGCAATATAATTATCCTACCAACTGGCAAAACTCTAATGTTATAATAGCTACAGCACTATAATAACTTTTTTTTTTCTGGACTATTTCCCTGAGAGGCCAAAGAGGTAGGAAGCAATAGCATAACATAATCATAGGCAAGTGCTGCCTGCCCTCGCCCCGTTGTTTTCTCACCTGCCTGTTCCTCGCCATCCCCAGGGTTCCTCTGAGCTGCGTTCAGTCGCACAGCGCTGTGCTGCTCCAGTTCACAGCTGTATCTGTAGTGCTGCTGTTATTTCAGTTCTGGATAGGTGCTACCCAGACAAGTGAAGGATTCCTGTGTTGGTTTCAAAGGCTCTGACTTCTCCTTTGTGCGCACCCATATCATTCTTTCTGTCTCAGCGTTGGCTCCAGCTCATCCATCAGTGTCTTGCTGCTTTAAGTGTTCTCACATCCTATTAACAGCAAAACTGGCTGCGAGACAGAAATACAGCGTGAGGTGCTAGGAATGGCTTTCTTTTGGAGATCAGGGCTTCTGCAGCTGCCTGAGATTAACCCTTCTGGGGAGAACTCTGAACTTTCAGTTGTGCATTCTTACCGCAGCATTTAAAAAGTGAACTCTTACCTGGTGGACATGCCAGCTGCTGGGGGAAAATGAAACTAGTTGCATAGAATAAATCAGTAAGGCTCTGTAAAAATGCCTTCAAGTATTATGAATTCCCAACACAGTTTCTTACAAAATTACGATTCAGTATCTGTCAAAATAGAATGGTTCTCCACAGAGTAGTCTACAAACTGAAAAACTGCTAGATGCTGATGTAGTGATGTCTGCAGTCACCTCCTGTAACTCAGACAAATGGTTTAAATAGGAACAAAACCAGGATTCCATATATCAACTACTGTGAAACGTATAACAAAGATGTGCGTGTACTGATTGCTGGTGGAAGCAGTGCAGGGAGCTGAGCATCAACCCAAAGGGGTGCCACGAGCCACCGGTGTTCAAATCTGCTTCCAAAGAGTCTTCATCTCAGGCAACTCAGGAACAGCTATAAACAGAAAGGTTGTTAGCAGTGGATTAGCGCAGGGGAAGAGCTGCCTCATTTCACTGACAGCCACAGCTGATCATGCGTAAGGAACAATCCTCTAGCAGCAGGCTGAGCTCTGCCTTCCCACCCCTGAGTTTGGAGCGGTTCATCTCCTGAGATTTTAGTATAGCTATTTCATTTCTCTTCGCTGAGGAGCTGAATCCTTAGCAGATGGCTCTTAACATCACAGGGCTCATCTGTGGCTCTGCTTGGAGCAGGTTAGTTCAGAACAGAGCACTTACAGCAAGGAAAGTGGCTTAGGAGGAGGAGATGACCGAGGAGATGTGTTTTGCTGAGTTCCCAAGTCCCAGCCCATCCTCCTGAGGCTCAAGATAATTCTGTACCTTCTGTGCAGGACCTGGAGTTGGAATGGACACAAACTTGCTTTTATCTGTTCTTCTGCTCCAAACATAGCATCTAATTTCTCTGGGTATGGAAATAGGATAGTAATTAGAGCTAAGAAATTCTTCAAAAATATCCAAAGCATTCTGTCAAAGAGACTCAGTATAATTGTTTCTGCCTCCGTTCATCCATCTTTTTCTTGCTCACCTTGGTGGAGGCTGCTGCTGGCAGAGCCAACGGGTAACTGCAACATTCCAGCAATAAAGATGGCATTTGTGAGAAGCAATATGCGAATCCACTTCCAAGACTCTCATCTGCATGGGAAGCAGCAATCTGCTCCTGTCAGACCATCTATCCCACCTTAGTCAATGCCAGCTGTTTCTGCTGACAGGTCACAGGAGCCAGGAATGCTCAAGCAAGAGGGAATTCCTCAGGTTTGCTTGATGGGTGGCATAGAAACAACATAGCTCACAGCTGTTTTTACACTAAGGCTGCCCAGAGGGGAGGTGGTGCCCCATCCCTGCAGACACCCAAGGTCAGGCTGGGGGGCTGTCAGCACTGATGGAGCTGTGGGTGTCCCTGTGCACTGCAGGGCAGTGGAGCCAGATGGCCTTTAGAAGTTCCTTCTAACTCAAATGGTTCTGTGGTTCTTGGTTCTGGTGGAAGTCCCTTAAGCTCCAGACCAGAGACTGTTCTCTTCCCTAAGCTTCTATGGCAAAGGGATGGAGAAGAACACCATCTTTCCTTCTGCTTTTCCCCAGGGTCAGGCCACTGCAATACAGAAATACAAACTGCCCATCTCCTCCGACTGAAGTGCTGTGTTCCAGTTGTTTGGAACACCTCTCCTCACTCCAGCCAGGCCCTCTCCTCTGTTACGTTGAACTCCCAGCATTTTACAGTGGATTACAGCCCCATGTGCTTAATTTCATATTGCTCTGTACCCCATACCTCTACCCTGGCCTTCCCAAGGTGTGTGTTGGGCAGCCAGGATAGTGAGGAGAAAGCAGCTTGGCATTCACTGCGATTTAATTAGCGCAGGCAGCAAGGGATTTCACTAATTTGTGCCTATTTGTTGGAAGCCCTTTGTTACAACAATGCACGTTTCTTCCCATGGTTCTGTTGGCTGAGCTGGACAAAGCTGAAGGATGTCAGTGAGGATGATGGTGGGAAGGGGTGGTGGGGGCTGCCCGGGGCTGTCGTCATTCCTTCTCTGTGCCCACAGGAGCAGACCAAGCTGCGCAGGGATGCCCTGCTGAAGATGCTGGCGGGGCTCCTGGAGAGCGCAGACGTGGCCTCCCCAGACCTGGAGGAGGAAGGCAAGCTGGAGGAGGAGCGGGCGGCGCTGGGGCGGCTGGCTCAGCTCTCGCAGCGGGACCGCAAGGCGCCCTGTAAAAACTTCTTCTGGAAAACCTTCACCTCCTGCTAGTGCCGCCCTGCTGGGCTGCCCGCCTGCCTGTCACCACACACCCCATCCCCTCAGCTCCTTCCCTGTCGTGCACACCTGAGAATAAAGCATGGTGCCTCGGGGACTCGTGTCTGCCTCTGCGTGCCCCGGGGCCCCGCCTCGTCTCCTGGGAGGGTGGGCGGGGCTGTGGGGTGGCGGCCATCTTGTGCGGCCGCCATCTTGTGCGGCGGCCATGAAGGGGAGCGGCCATTTTGGAAGAGAGCTTTGCAGCTGTGAGGAAGCCTGGGGGGAGCAGAGGGTCTTTCTCCTCAATCCTCACTCCAATGTGGGACTTCCGCAGCTCCTTATGCACCGCGGGGGGTCAGGTGAGTGCGTGCAGCCGTGCTGTGGTGAGGCGCAGTCCGAGCACTGGCTGGGCTCTGCAGCAAAGGGGTTTGGGCCTGCAGGGGAGAGCCCTCCCAGGCCTTGTGCCTGTCTCCATCGAGGCTCTGGCTGCAGGGATGTGGAACAGGATGGCTAAGGGCTAAAAGGGGGACCTGGCCCTGCCCTGCCCTTGCTCTGACACCAGGTTATTACCAGAGCAGCTCTCTGGGTGCTCTTTGTGTGGAGGAAACCGGCCCCAGTCCAGGTTCAGTCCTGCTTCTCTCACAGCTTCTTGGTATCCCATCACCTTGTTTTAAAAACCCTGTGGAACTTCTGATTTCTGCTGCTTCACTCCTTAGGTGCCCTTTACTGTTCCCTGAGCAGTGAGGACTACTGCTTTATTTATGTTGGCTTGCTGAGGAACCATCAGAGCCTCTATTTTAGATTTGAAAGATGGAGTGGAGATATGAAACGTAGGCTGAAATGTTTGAGTCTAGCACAGGTATTTACTTATAGGAGGCAGCTGAGGCCTTGGTATGCACACTTAGATTTGCAGGAATACTTCTGGGGAGAAGGACAAGGGGAGAGGAAAGCGGTTTAAATTTGCTGTTTGCTTTAATTTTTAGCAGTAACGGTTTGAGTTTGGGAGCTGCTTCATCTCTAGGAATGGGCACGCAAAGCAGCAGGCTCCAGTTGCAAGTTTCAGAGCCTGTCTGCATGGCCTGGATGGCCATAGCTAGAAGGAAGGAAGCTAGAAGGTTAGCACTGGTTTGGTTTTGAGCCTTTACATCTTGTTTCTGGATGCCAGTGACCATGAATTATCTCATCTGCACAGCAGCATTTTGGGTTTATCAGCAGCCAACCTGTTTTCTTACAGTTGAAATAGCGCTCCCAACTCCCCCGCTCTTCCTGAATAATGAGTGGTGCGGTGCTCCACACCAGGTAGGCTGGCTTGCTTATGCCACTGTGTTCTGTGTCAGGTTGCGTTTTCACTGCCTCGTTTGCCATCAAAATTTCTGGCTGTGTCTGGTTTGCAGGAGAGGCTAGAGCCCCATGGTTTGTTTTATTTTTCATTCCATAATGAAAAATAAGATCCTTGCTGGGGGAACTCAGTGACTCAGTGTATGGGTAATGGGATATGGAGCTTTCCAGCTGTGTTGCCTGAAGCACCCAGCTGGGATGCAGGGGACCTGATTTTATGCCTTGTTTTGCTGATAGCATTCGTGTTTTATTATTACCACCGTTTGAATACTTCAGTTTCTTTGTCTTCAAAATGTGCATGATAGCTCTTGTCTATCATTTTTTCTCAGGGTACGTGAATGGCAATCATAGAATCACTCAGGTTGGAAAAGACCTTAAAGATCATCGAGTCCAACCACGACCTATCCATGCTACCCTAGCAAGTGCCACAGAAGAGCCAATTATGGCCATTATTGTTATTAAGGCCTGTGTTGCATCATAAGACCAAGATCTTGGAAGTATTCTTGTAGGAACTGCCTTATTATCTACCATCAGATCTTGTCTGTGATAATAACGCTCATGACTGCGTGCGGTGGAAAGGAGAAACCCTGCAGCACACAGATGCAGGAGCAAGCCCTGTCAGAGACTGCCTTTTCAGCAAGCTGTGCAGGCTGTATTATTTAGTGGTTCCTGGAGGAGAGTGTGGTCAGGCTACTCTAGAGCTTGGAAGTCAAGTTGGAAGTTGAACTCTTCTTTCATCCCTGCAGATGGCTCCTGCTAATGCAAACAGGAGGCACGCTGGCTGAGCACCAAGCAGGAAGCCTGCACCGCCAGTGCACGTGCTGTGGATAGGGGCCAGCACAGTTGAGCCAGCTTCTTTCATCAGTGCTGAAATCAGTGTTTGAGTTGGATGTGATTCCGCAGTTTCCGTGGTCAGTGTGCTGAGGCTGAAGGGCTGCTAGGTCTGCCTGATGGCAGTGTGTGGTATCAGGGAGTGTAGAGTGACAGATCAGGTGGAGAGGGAGGGGTGTAATGAAGGGTTATAGATGGTGTGTCACACCTGGGTGTTTTTGATTTAAATGCTTCGCAGAATAATTGCGAGTCTTGCAGTGGTGTAAGTCAAGTAGAAGGGGCAGTGTGCTGGTTGTTTTTTTTTAATGCAATGGCCAACACATTTTTGAGGCACCGCTCAGGGTAATTTTGCGTGTGCATGTGAGCTATCTTGACATTTAGAAAAATTAATTGAAAAAGACATGCATTATTTTCTCAAAAGGACCAGCAGACTTTTACAGTCAGCTTTCACATACATTTCCTCGCCTAATTCGGTGCATGGTATAGTTCACAGAATAGAAGGTCCTGTAGAGGTCCCTTCCAACTCTAATGATTCTGTGGGAGTATTCAGTGTGTATGTTTGCATTGAACTGTATAACTCCTGGTTATACATAAAGCTGCAGAAGGGTGGTGAAATGATCATGGGGCTGAAAACCTGCAGCATATTCAGTAGCAAGGCGAGCTCTGGGTGTGCATATCCTACTCCATGATGAACATGAAGGAGTCTGAGGTAGCTTATTCCTTGTTGAATACAGGGTAAATCTCATTTACCATGAGATCAAAATGTGTATATGTGGATAGATACTGTGCAGAAACTAGCCTGATATTAATTTGAGATTTATTAGCTTCCCTGGTGAGTTGTTTGTATGTCCTTTTAATAGTGAAGATCACGTTTTAATACATGCTGTCAGGGGACATAGCTTGTGGGGAATCAATACTTCAACGCGTTCATTTTCATGCTGGGAAAAAGGAGAGAGTTTCAATCTGATCAGACTTCCCAGGGACACTGTCTGTCTCCAGATAGCTGGCAAGCGGATATGAGTTTAGTGGGAAGAGAAGAGTTCCACTTAGTCTGGTAGGTTTATGTCTGTTTTCAGGTAATGCACAGCCCTTGAGGAACCTTTCTGCAGTTATTGAAAACTAAGGTTAAACCAAAGACTGCAGGGAGAATGGAGAATATGGTTGGCCAAGGTATTTTTGTCCTACACTGTTGTTGTCTTTGGGTCTGCTTAGAGGCACTGAGTGCTGATTTGAAAAGTTGTTAGTCTTATTAAAAAAAACAAGAATCTATTTTGCAGTCGATGGAATATACAGATGCAATATTGGATAAATCCGGGAGAGATCAGCTAGGTTTGTGCTTGAAAATTGAAAATGTAATCTCCTTTTCTTCTCTCGGCTCTTCTGTTCACAGTGCCCCCAGCAGCAGCAAGCTGTGAATGCAGTTTGTGCTCCGTGGAGACTGTTCAGACTGTATGACATCTTCATGTGAGACTTGCAGCACAGGAAATCCTGACCACCTCTTGATGACTTGAGAAAATGTTTCACACAAGGGGTTTTTCCAGTCTTTGCTGAGTAGGAGAGGGGGACATGAGAGGACCATTCTATGATTCTGTGGTCAGGGAGTATTTGCATTAGCCTGGCAGCACAACCAGAAGCCATTGGTCTGTAACCTGGACTGCTGAGGTTCATCTCACACAAAGGGTGATCAGTTTAACTGCCTGCACTGAGCCTGTGAGCTCTCCTGTAGCAGGCACATCTGAGCTGGGTATTCTCTTTGTTGACTCCAGCACCTTTGGAACTGACTGAGCTCTCATTCTTAGATTTGTATTTCATTTCACAGCCTTGAGAGGGAGGTACCTAATGAAACAAAAGTCACCCTTTCAGTTTCTTTACCATAGGTGCTTAGGAGAGAGCTCTTGGAGTCTGAATTCAAAGCTTCCAACAGGTCTGCTTCCCACTTGTTGCATTACACAGGGCTTGTAGAAAGAGCAAGTATCTGGGAAGTGAAGGAAACTTGAAACATAGTTCAAATCTATGTCGTGTACCTGCCCAGAGAGTGTCTTGTCTTGAGTGATAGACTGGGCTGGGTGAGGATCTGTGTCTGCCAGGCCTGCAGTGCACAGAGGAGTAAGTAGCTCTGCTGGGAGGGAGCATGTTGTCTCTTCAGCTGAGAATGAGGAACTGTTGGTTCTAGCTGTATCTTGGGGGGCTGGAGGACTCTTGTTTTGAGCTAATTAATGTTTAATGTAAATTTTAATGTTTAATGTAAAAGATATAAACAGTGTAGCTGAGAACTTGCCTGAGGTCAAGCCTCCTTCCCATCATCAAATTGTTTCCTGGTTAGATAAGTTTGCTATTAAAAGAGGGTACTTCACCAGGTTGTTCTTGGCTGGTTTATGTTAGTCTCCTCTTGACAGATAGGAAGAAGGCAAGGAGATCACTGCTGCATGCAGCAAAAATAGTTTGCACATCTGGTTGATTTAGCCATGCTTTTTTTTTTTTTTTAATGTATTTGCAAGAACAAGTCGTCAGAATAGCTCTGTCTATTCTGGTCTATTGTCTGCATTAGCTGGTGAGCCTAGCACATGCAGCAACCCAATCTGTAAAGGAAAGGAAGGGGGAGTATTTCTACAGTGGCTTTTACACAGAGCTTCTAAGTCTTCTGGTTGGAGCAAGACTGCAGAGTGAAGCCCTGAGGTCAGGGCACGTCCGCATGCTGTGAGCCTCCTTGGCCCTGTGCTGCCAATCCAGTGGGAGCTAAATCAGTTCTGGGCTGAGCCATCCTCTGCCGGAAGCTTAGGTGCAGGTGTACAGACAGGGAGCTGCAGGTGCCTAGGAAACATCAGTATTCCCTTCTGGAGCCCAAGGCATGGGGAGCAAGCAGCAGTCTTTTTTGCTGTGAAATACTGGCTTGCAAGCAGCACTCATCTTTGTGAAGTGATGAATTTACCCACTGCTGGGAGCCAG